GCAATAGAACACTGACTAAGGCAAAAGGGGAGAGGGGAAAAAGAGGGAGAAGAAGAAAGAAGGGAAAAAGGGAAAGAAGGAAGAAAATGGAGAAAGAGAGATGTAAGAAAGGAAGGACCCATGATAATGAAGCCTAGAAACACGATGCTCGTGCATGTGAGAGATGGGAAACACATGAGGTAAGACAGGAAACACATGCCGGAGTTCCTCTGCTTCTTCAGAATGCTTTCCTACCGATGCTTTAGTTATTGTGATATTATTGGATATTGGATGAAAGCTTACAGAGTGGTGTCATTGAATAGTGAACAAAATTAGAAGTAGGTTTACATGCATAAACTGCAATCAATTTTAAGGAGTAGCTGTCTTGAGCTATAAAATCATTTACCTTGCTGGCTTCAGGAAGGGTTATACAGGGAAGAACTCCACCGCTTTTGTAACATTTGGCTTTGATAGACTTGGGATTTTAGAAGCCATCATCTTACAACCCCTTTATATACACACTTATCCCGGAAACCTCGCCCATGAGACTGGTCTCACCCTGCTCCCCTACTTTTTCTTCCTCCCTCCCTTCCTTCCTTCCTTCCTTCCTTCCTTCTTCCCTCCCTCCCCCCCCCCTCTCTCTCTCTTTCTTTTTTTACAGCAACTGATTCTTTTACAGGCAACTGATTTATTTGGTTTATTTCTGAGCTATGGCGGGGGGGTTATGCAAAAATTACAGAGAACAAATGAAAAAAAAAGAGAAAAAATTTAAAGGAAGACTTGGAATGAACTAAATAGGAAATTTAATAGGTCCATGATACCATCTAAAGTATAACCAGCAACTGCCACAGTATGACATACAAATCTGCACTCAAGGGGCCTAGTGAGATGGCTCAGCAGATAAGTTACCCGAGATTGGTACCTAGAACCTACATAAAGGTAGAAAGGAAGAAGTGACTCCCTAAAAGCTGTCTGCTGACCTCTACGCACTCACCAGAGCATGTGTGCCCCCAGATAATCAATCTAAAAAAAATCTAAGGTCACTCCCTGTTGGGTTCAGCTACATACTCCTATTATTCCTGATCATAAACAAGTAGAATCTGGAAGATACCCACCTGTGAAGCCTCTACTAGGACTCTGCTATAGGTTGGCACAGATGTTCCCAGCTACTGATCATATCCGTCAATGGGCATTTGCACTAGCAATCTACTTTGTCAAAGTACTGCTTCTTTCTAGTAACGTAAAATACAGAAACACAGAGGTCAAACCCTGGCCCCCATTCAAAACATCCAACTAACCAACCAACCAACCAACCAGCCAAATAACTAACCAGAAAAGCCAAAACAAAACCAAAAAAATCAAGGTCAATGGCATGGACTCAATTTAGGCCAACTCTGAAGACCCACCCAGCTTCAGTCCTGGACTAGGTGAGAGGCTCAGCTAAGGCTTCAACTGTCTCTACACTGACAGGGTCTTGTCCTTCCCATCAGTGCCGCCAGCCTTACTTCCTTACAGGTGTCTCTTTTAACCAACAGCCACTAGAGCTTAAGGAAAGGCTTTTCCAGGGAACCCCATCTAAAGCATTGCTCAAACTCACACTTAGTGCACTTTAGTGTCAGCCAGAATCATAACTGGAACTCATTTTCTCACCTCATTAATCCAGACCATTCTTGATGACTATAGTTCTTCCTGTGTTCAGAGCTCTACCGATGAGAACATAATTATTCCTGTGTGATGAGGGCTGCTGCTGGCTTACACAGACAGGTCTGGTGCCTAGCTGGGCTTATTGTTACTTTAATAGCTAATATTTTAGCTTGAGATTCTCTAGAAGCAGAGCCTGAGATGAAGAAAGGCTTAAAGGAAAATAATGAATCAGAATCTAGGACAGCCTCCCTAATGTGCCAAGGACAGTCACACCCTTGTGTACCACACTGAAACCTATGTTTGACTTAATGCTCAGCCATACCATTTTGAAATTCTTAAATAATTTTTGAGCAATTTTCATTCTGCATTGAGTCACATGAATCATATTGCAGGTCCTGGCCCGGTTGGAATATATTCCTCAAAAAAATTGACAGGGGAGTAGGAAGTAGAACTGGGAAGACCAAGAAGGGAGGGGAAGATGAGATATAAGCAAGGAGCTGGAGAAAAGGAGAGATTCTTATCCAACCACTGCAGGGAGTGCTGCTGACATCTTAGACGCAGCCTCGAGTCATTCCAATTGGCGTCAAAACAGATGGAGCATTTTTACCTCCACACTCCTGTCACTGCTTAAAGAAAAGATGTAAGATGTACGGTACTTGCCAGGCTCTTCCAGCTGCCTTGTGCCCAGGGATAAAACATTCTGAAGCTGAAGGTGGTGGTTTGGCCCTAAGATGTGGGCGCTGGCTGGCAAGAAGTACACTTGGAATCAGTGTTCATAAAGCTGCGAGAAGGATGGCAAGAGATCAGACCAAATATTAACAGAAATTGATAGAGTTGGACATATACTTACTATGTACAGGTAAAAAAAAAGAATGCTTGATGATCAACCCACTACTTTATGAGTAAATTTGCTAATTGAAAAGGCATATATTTATTTATGTGAAACAAGCATATATGCATATATTATATATATTATATACATTATATATACCATGTATATATAATACTACACACATGTATTTGTGTATATATATATATATATATATGTGTGTGTGTGTGTGTGTGTGATGTGTGAATATATGTATATATGTATGTATGCAATAGGAAGGACAGCCATGCGGAGATGGAGGGTGAGTCATCAAAGTTCAGGAAATGGATCCAGAATCATGGTTAAAAGCACAAACTGTTTAAGCACCCTGCATTTAAAACCAGTCTCTGCCACTTTCAGACTCACTGGGTTAATTCTGCTGTGCCTACATGCTAGGGTTGCTAAGAGAATGAAAAGATTTAATACACGTAAGGCTCGTAAACATCTGCCACACAGGAAGTACTGGTTAAATGTTAGCTCTTATTGTTTTGCCTTTGGCTACTATGATCAGAACTTCCCAACTCTCTGGAATACAGCTGTTCCTCAGAGCCCACAGGGAGTTGGTTCCAGAACTGTCCTTCATTCATATACTAAAATCTAAGGATAGAAAACTCTTCTATAAAATGGCATAGTGTTTGCATATAACTTACCTACATTTTGCATATGATGTTTTAATTATTCCTAGATTATTTATTATCTAGTCCTATACAATGTAAATACTCATTTTTGTTATACTGTATTATAAATGAAATAAAGACAGAGAACATACTTGTTCAGGACAGACTCAATTTTGTTTTCAAATATTTTCAATCTGTAGTTGAATCTGAAGATGCAGACCCCTGCAGGTATAAATGATTAACTGTATTTTATTCTTAATTTTTTTGCAATCTGACATTTTAGTACAAAAAAAGAAATTAAAAATGGATAATGTGTGAGAGGAAACAAAATTAAAGGCCATACTTCAAATAACTCGATGTCAATAGACAATGTCTGCACAAGTTAGTACACGATCTTAGATTTCTGTTCTCTCCTTATGCAGATAACTGTTTAAAGACTGTTCTGTGGTTACAATTTCAGAAGTCAGACATTCTTCAATGAGCCACTTTGTTTTTGTCAGACTAGTGAGAGAAAAATTAAAAGTACATGAAGTGCTAAACTGGGCTATATAATAATCCAGAGGTGTAAATCACAACACTAATAGTCCATTCTTGTGTCCAGCCACTCTGTTTAGGGTGCTTCTTTTAACTGTCGCTATCTGAATCAGCCAAGTGTTTCCTAACACTGCAGAAAGTAGGAAATAAAATGCAGGTTGTGGTTTGCACCTCAACAAGAACATCCTCTGGAGGCTGCTCAGACCACACTGGCCAAGCAAGGCATTCTTGAAGTACAAACAGGAGCGAATTTAATGCCTTCACTGGGATTCAGTACCTAGATCTCAGCAACCGAAGGATCCACTCACCTCTCTTCCGCAGGAGAAACTCCACGGTGCATCCTCACCCAATACTTGGATTTATTTATTCTTTTATTATCAAAAATACTGGTGTGGTTTCTGTTTAATCTTTTTAAAAAATATCTTTTATTCTTTGACAATTTCATACAGGTATCCTGATCACACCCAACTTCCCCTCCCACTCTCCCACCACAACCCCCAACATGTCTCCTTCCCACTTACTTACTTACTTACTTCCTTCCTTCCTTCCTTCCTTCCTTCCTTCCTTCCCTCCTTCGTTCCGTGGCACTGAGTCCAATTAGTGCCCCTAAAACAGACTCTGCCCACGATGGTTCTTAGTGACTCACTTTGGCCTTCTATCTCGTGAGTATTACCATTTCTGCTCACGCATCTTTACTGGATTCGAGCAAGCCTGCCTTGGGTTGGTATCTCCTATCATGTCTTGCATAATGTTTGACCCCACACAACAGGTGCTTCGTTTTGTTGAATGGCTATAAGGAGCTATTGTAGAAGCAAAACTGTCCCTTCAATCTGCCAAACTCTAAATGCATACAAAAAACGAACAAACAAACCAAAACCTGGTCCAATTAATTTATTACGCAGAACTCTGCCCAGTTTGGGACAGTCAGAAGCACACAGTTAACAATCTGACTTTACCTCCATTTCTGGGAACAACCTCCCTGTGGCCCCAGAATCCTTTAAATATGACGGTGGCCGTTTCCTCAGACCTTTCTGGAACAGAGCCCCACTTCTGTGTGGGGTTTGGCAGAGCTCATCTTCGCAGTCTGGGGACTGCGGAGAACTCGGCGGTGTGTGGTCCTGGTGGTGGCGCATGGTGGTGGCCTCGCGTAGTTGCCCGGGCCCGCCGCACCGCAGCGAGCCGCACCAACCCAGCCGCGGGCACGCGCGTCCTCACTCCCGACGGCCGCAGTTGGGCGCGGCGACCGCGTCCGGGGCCGGTGGGCCAGAATGGAGGAGGTGGCGGCGGCCGCCCCGCCCACCGGGCCGTGCGCCCCGCCCACGCGTGAGGGGAGGAGCCGGAGCGGAGTAGGGAGGAGAGGTCGGGCGGTCCGGGAGCGCGGAGAGCACGACTCCCTGGCGGCAGCGGCGGCGGCAGAGAGTGAGTGCCAAGCTCGCCGGGACCGGACGGGGCGGGGCGGTCACCGCTACTTCGGGGCCGCCTGTGGGTCCCGCGGGCTGGAACGAGGGAGCGGAGGAAGGAAGCGCGGGCTGTTGGCGCCCTGGGCCGCGAAAGGGGAGTGGGAGCGAGGCCCGCTGGGGCCCACAGACGCGAGAGCCCTCGGGGCGCGGGTGGCCCCTGAGGTTGGGTCTCCGTAGCTGCCTCACCGGGCCTCGCCCAGCCGGAGGGAGGCCCGGGAGTAGCCGCTCAGATCACGGCGGTGCGGGAGGAGCGGGTCGGGGCGGCCACGCACGCCCCTCCTCTCCCCTCGCTGACCCCTGGACACGCGTGGGTTGGCAACCTCGGTGCTGGGTCCTCACAGGGGGGTGGCGGCGGGGAAGGAGCGGATCGTGGACAGAACTCGGGTGACACTCCACGAGGGACCCTGCGGCGGTGACTCGGATAGGAAGGTCGGAGTTCAGACTTGAGGCTTGTGTAGTGTGTGGTTTTGTTTTTTGTTTTTGTTTTTTTATGAAGCGCCTGACGCTTAGCCCGTGGGTTAGAAAAACTCTTTATTTTAGTTAGGGCCTGTCAATTAAACCTCATTTTAAGACGCCATTGCTAGTGTCTCCTGACACTCGTTTATCCTGGCCGTGGATGTCTTGTAAACTTGACTTAAATCATTCATAACTTTCACAAAGGGAGCCGTGATTCTTGTTAAACTTTAAACAACTGGAAATCAGCTGGAAGGATCTGCCGAGGCCTGTGGTCTCGTGGTCCTCCTGTGCGGGCGTGGCTGTGCACAAACAAGTGGGTAGGAAAGGAAGCAGCCCCATGCCTGAGCAGGAGGGGAGGTCTGTGCCCATGTGCCAGGGCACGTTTAAAGGCGGCTCCAAGTGGAAACACTGGGGATGTCTTAGGCCTTGTTGGACGGACTTCACATGATTCGCCTTATTCCGGTCAGTTATTTCCTCTCCCCTCTGCTGTCTTTGGACACTGTTTATATTTCCTGGGGCGATCGTAGAGTCTCCTGAATAGATTGTCTATAATGAATCTTTGGGATGTTGTCAGAGCCAGGCTCTGTGTCTGTGTGTTCTCAATCTTTAAAGCAATAGCTTGGCTTTGCTTTTAGAGAGCTGGTCACCCTGCTGCACCATTGCTTGGCACTTCAGACCATGGATGTAAATTACCACTGAATTCCAGCCCTTCCCCAGGGAAGCTGGGAAAGCAGGTCACTCTAGAGCAGTGAGGTTAAATTTACTATTGTCAAGCAGTCACTTTCAAATAAGGAGGTCCACCTTCCCTTTTTAGAACAAAAATGAACATGTCAGCAAGACCATTTTCCAATAAATAAGCATATGGTTCTCACATATTTTTAATTCTTTATTTTTGTCTGTTTCATACATGTATACCCCCTTACCCTCTTTCAAGCCCCTCCCACTGACAACCCCTTCCTCCCAACCACATTTTAAAAAGCAATCAATTGTAGATTGCTAAGAGGGCGTTTAGATAAAATATTCAGACTCTTTGCCTTTCTTAGCAATCAGCCAGCACCATAAAGCCCTGGGTGAAGCCCAGTGAATGCTGAACAGTAACTACAATGCAGCTGTATTTAGCACAAGCACTTTACTGTGTGAGGAACCCCAAGACCATGTGCAACTCATAGATTTGTATAGAACCATGTAAGAATAAGGATCTGTGCTTCACAGGAGACTACAAGTGTCGTAGAGAGAGGAGGTGCAGAAAGCTCTGAGCTTATTTGAAAGACTGACAGTTGAGTTGCTGTTGCCACAGGTTACAGAACACTCTTGCTGGTTAGGTGGTGGGAGCTACGGACTACACAGTAAAAAAAAAAGAACTGCAGAAGAGTTAGCGAATGCCCAATAATTTTTATTCCAAACCTCTCTCTAGTAGGAAAAAAAAGTCAGAATGCTCTCACTAGGCTGTGTTTTAATTGGATTTTGTTGTTGTTTCTTTCATTTTAGTGTAAGCCTTACCTAGGAAGGTAAAGTTCTAGAAGTAGTTTTCTAAGCCTGACTAGGAAGGGAAGCTACTTAACAGTGGTTTGCTATGTAGGCTTTCTTGTCAAACAGACCAGGATGAGAATATTAGCCCTTTACAACCTGATTCAGAAAGTAGGAGTAACAGTCGTCTCTGCTTTTAGAGTTTTGATCAAAGTGTGTCAATTAGTCTTTGGAAAACACAGACTGAGAGTAACCAACATAAAGTGCTTAGAATGATCACTTTTCCTTTTAAACTAGTTTACACAGCACGATACTTGATGAATTATAATAGGTAGAACCTTCTGGAAATCCAAGATACCACTATTTTAAGTTCCAAAGAGTGATGGCAGGATAACTCACACCTGTAATCTTAGCAGTTGGCAAAACTAAGGCAGAAGAATTGCTCTCAGTACAAAGCCAGTTTGGACAACATAGTAAGTTCTAGGGTAGCCTATACAAGAGTGAGATCTTGTTATTTAAAAAACAAAAAACAAAAACCTAGAGGTTGACCAGATTTTTGAGTGAGTGTGTGTGTGTGTGTGTGTAAAAATGTGTATAAGTGTTATGTCCTGTTTCACCCATAGCAGTATGAACAAAAATGATTGATGGGCCAATAATTTTAATAGTGCTTTTGATGTTGTTAAATGCATAGTATTTAAGGCTAGGCAATTAGGAACATAAGTTGCCTTTTAAGTTTAAAGAGAATTTTTATTTTAAATAGTTACATTTATTAACCTTGGATAGGAAGTTAAATAAAAAACAGAAGTAACATTTGTCTTTAACCAAGAATGATTGTTTGAAAAGATGTGATCCAAGAGTGTGAAGTGGTTGGCTCTTGTGTGTACCGCTGTCCAAGGCCAGCAGATAAGCCATAAGAAGTGGGGACTAATTGTGATTATTTTGAAAATTTTGTGAGAGTAGATTAATTCAGGAAATGAACTCATAGAGTCACTGAATCACTTGCTAAAATTTACAAAATTGAAAAAAAAAGTTTTTACTTTAAAAACAAACTCCTTTAAGCATCTGCTTCTTCCTTAATGCGTATCAGATGCATCTGATCAACCATGTCAGCGACACAGAAATTCTCATTTATAATGTTTTCAAGTATAACAAGTACAGTGTTCATTATGAATTGTTTTGGCCTGTGACACTGTACTCTAATGTATTGAAAGACTTGATTGAATAAATCATGGCTTGCTTTTACTCCTGGAATGTTACAGCATAATGGTGGGTTCCGGGCTGTGTTCCTAGGTGTGTAGATCAGATGGCTTGTTAGTTTCTCTGTACTTTATTGAGGTTGTGAGGAATAAATAATCTGCTAGGTAGACCATGTTGGACATTGCCTGCCATGTAATCAGTACTTAGTATTATGATATCTTTCTACAGATAATGAGCATGTGTTACTTTTATAACAGAAAAATGACCACACAAAAATTTTCATATTTCTCTCAAATCAAAAAGGCTATTATTATTTAAAAACTCCTGCCAAATCGTACTTACAAAGTAAGAAACTATGCAGTGATTAGACAATAATATTTTGTCTTTTAAATATGAAACGAGGTTTAGTATCTACTTACTCAATGAATTGTCTAGATCTTAATTTCCTTTCTAATCGGTAACTCAGACAAGAGGTTTGTTTTAGGTTACACAGTTGAAAGACAGGTACAAATATAGTGCATTATTACAATTACAGCTAGCTGTGTATTTTTGTAAAAGCTTGAAGGAAGATACAAATGGGTGCCTCCATTTTCTCCCAGTTTCCCTAGTAAGTGTGTACATATAACAGATCATTCATAATAGCTACTCAAAATAAATTCTGGTTTATAACTGCATATAATAGGATTTTGTTGCCTTGGGAAAGGAACCACCAACTTTTGTGGCACATGAATGCCATCAAATTAAGGGCCTAAATCTTCCTAGTAAATGGGAAGCCCTTCAGGAGGTTTTAGGTTTATCTTTATAATAGATACTTGGTGTGCATTTAGTGTGTGTGTGCGTGTGTGTGTTACTGGCAATGGAATCTAGGACCTTGTACGTGCTATGTGGTTCTATACACTGCTACCCAGTCAGGCTCTGAACTTATGGGCCTTGTGTTGCTACCTTCCAGCGCTGGGGATAATGGATCTCTGCTACCACAGGGATACTAGAAGTACGTAGTCAATAAGAAGAGCTACATAGAAGCCAAGCCTGATTTCACAGAAGTTGGTACTTCTCAGGTCCAAGTCTTCTGCTTCGACAAGATGCATTTATAGAGCACCAGCAGTCTGTCATGGTTGACAAAATTGAAGAACAAATGGGTGCAGTGAAGCTCACAGCAATATCAAATAAATAAGACATGATTGCAATACAATTGACTGATTCTAGTCACCAAACTGCCATCCACCCTGAGCCTTCCTAGGCCTTTTCTGAGTCCAGGTCTTGCCCAGTTCTCAACAAGACTCACATGAGGCTAATGTTTCTTCTTAAGCATTTAAACCTTAAGGGATAGAAAAAAAATTTCCCCAGAGTTGCTGTAATTCTGTAGCTGAGTCAACACTCTACTGAGACTCACAGGAAGGGCCCATACAGTCAAAGGAGAGAGAAAATAGCTTAATGCGAGCATGTACATTGGAAAGCTATAAATCAAGTCAAGAGACACATAGACAGGGCTTCCTACATAAGTGAGACAAGTAACCAGAAGAGAATTATGGGGCCCTCTCCTTTGGAGCTCACTGCATCCTCTGCCATTGCAGTTGCCCCATATAACATGTGAGACCCAACAGGTACATCCACAGACCAGTCTTTCAGAGACCTGTGAAGCTGTCTTTCCTTAGGAAGCCTTGGTTGGGCAGAAGAGAAATTTGGCTTGCAAAGTTCTGTTCCAGTGTAGCTCCTGCCAGTAGGTGCAGGGTACCCTAAGTTTTCTCTCAAGGGTAGGGCTAAGCAGTTTGGAGCTGGGCAGAAGGCAGAAATGTTTTGAACTGAAGATGGCTTCAGCTAGGTTACTCCATTTGCTGT